TATTTGAATTACCAGGAATGAATCCCTTTTAATGAACCCCTGTTCCATTCACACACCATTAGAGAGGCCACCTTCTAAGGTTATCAGGTCTGAACCTGGAGCATTTAAACAGGCCACACCAGAAATTGCCCACAGTCCTCCAAAATACAATTCTGATCATGTCACTTCCTTGATTTAACTCCTTCAGTGGCTCCCAGTGCCTTAGAAAAACATGCAGAGGCTCTCCATGACCCAGCTGTTTCTTCTCTCTCAAGTATCACCCAATGAAGCCACACTCTTCCCTCCTCCCAGCCATGCAACTAAGACACCTTCAGAGCCACAGACCCAACATGCCACCACGTTCTCTTCTGATTTGGGCCACCTGGTACCTGTGTCATCACTCTTAGCCCACTTCCCTTCTCCCAACTAGCTCCTGCTCCTCCATTAGGTCGCAGGTCAAACATCACTTCTCAGTGAGACATTCTTACTTCTGGACTAGATGAGTTACACAACACGGTCACACACACAGCCTATCCCCCATAGTCATTTAATATCTTTGAAACTGGGCCTCCCCTGGTGGCGCAGCGGTTGAGCGCTGGGATGCGAGGCTGCCCAAAGCCTCTGCAGTGCCAGTTCCATCCCCAGCCGCCAGCGAGGGTCCCACATGGCGTGCAGACGTCTCCTGCCAAGCCCGCTGCTCCCCTCAGCAGTGTATTTCGTCAGTCTGCCTGTTCTGTCCCCCGCTCTGGCTCTGGTGAATTCTCTCACCCTCCCGCGCTTCTGACTGTACCCAGTGCTTATATAAATAAAAATAAATAAATCTTAAATATATATATGTATATATATCTTTGAAACTAATTAATAAGCATGTGTTTAGTGACTATCTCTCCCACTAACCAGAAGTTTGGTGAAGTCAAAACTATCTCTTTCTTGCCTACCTTGGTGTCCTCAGTGCTCAGGATAAGACTTCACATAGTCAGACTCAGTATATATTATTTCACTGATTTTCTGAACTCGTGGCTCTTACTGAAGTAGTGAGACAAAAGCAGACTAAATAAATAATAAATGTGCCAAGATTTATGCACTACTTTTCATTTCAAATTATGTAGCTGCTGTGATTAATAAAATACAAATTCACTGAAAGCTTTACTGAATTCATGCTTACACTTTGCTATTTACTCTCTTAACCAATGAAATCATTATGTGGGGGCCCACCCCCAACACATACACACCCAAAGTGGTATTAAAAGCAGTCCTTGAACTCACACATCATTTAACAGAACAGTTAAAGACCTTCCATAATCGCACCTATTGTTAATAAGGGAAAATGTTTGCCAACTTATGCCAATAAAACAAATTCTTTTAATGTAGCACAGTATAAATGAGCTGCTTTATATTGCACTGAAAATCCTTTTAACTACTAAGCCTTTTTTCTGCCATTCTAAGAATCCCTGAAAGTTTCCATTTAATAGACACAGTGAAAAGCAGAGTTAATACATGAGTCCCTTCAAAGACATTCTAAATGGGTTATCAGTGATAGAACTTTGCTCAAAATTTACCTGGAAAAATTGTTCATAACATTTTCACATCATGATTCACAACAGACAAAACAAATGAAATCATAGAGTCACCCTTCAATCAATCCCTATTTTCAATCCCTATTTTTTTTTGCCCCCTCATTCATCCCATATATATTTACTGATCCCCCACTGAGACAGGGGAGGCACTGTGCTAGGCATACAAAGACAAAAGGCCTGTCCTCAAGGAATTGAGACCACACAGCGAATACCACCCAGTTCTCTCTTACAGGAGGTGCTTTGGGAAGGGAAAAAGCAGAGGGGCTCAAGACAAATCTCAGAAACGTCTGAAAACAGACCCCCAATCTGGATTGCCTAAACTATGTACAGACCCACAAATCCAGAGACGCGGGGAAGAAACAATAAAGTCAGATGCAGTTTACTTAAACTTAAAACCATGCACCATCTCTAAGTCACATGTGTTGGGCAGTACATGGAAACTAAAATCACAGTCATGTTAAAGTGTTGTTTTTAAAACAACAAAAGCTTAAAGGGAAGATTTAAGTCAGTAAGATTTTATACATTTTAGGACAAATAGCAACAGTAAGTAAAACAAATTGTGAAATTGGCTGGACACTATTGATGTTACTAGATATATTCAAAACAAGGTTGCCCCAAAATGTAACAATGAAAACATATATTACAAACTGAATTTTGCTGCTTTTCAAAATTGCTGCACAAAGTTACTGTCAAAAAAAAAATAAACAAAACTTTGGAAAATCACTCTCCCAAGCTAAACATAACAATCTTAAACTCTAAATGAACCTCTATGCATTTTCTGGGTTATACTTGAGCCTTTTAAGGCTTTATATTCAGTGTCCTGCTACAATATAACTAACACTACACTAACAGTGCCTTGACATAATACAACCGGATACAAATAAAAACTATTTCCCAGCACATACTAATAAATTGGGAACTAAATTAAATAGATACAGCCTCGGGTTCTTTGACAGTAGGTAGCAGATTAATTATGAATAAATGAATAACAAGTCAGATCAAGCTTATACTTTCCTTGGCTATTATTTCAATTTAAGAGGTGAAAATGGGGCCTACATTAGTTGAATGGTCCACAACCCCACATTTAGGTAAGGCGGCAGAGGCTGGGAATCAAACCTTGGTCCTTTCACTAAACTGAGTGTTTATAATCCTGAGTTCCAGAATGAACCTTTTCGAAAGGTATTTGTAGTCTCTGTGTTTTCTGAGGATAGGATGAGCGACACTGGTCACATTTAAAGAGGCCCACAATAACACACCCCCCCCCCCAACACACAAACTACACACACACAAACACGAAAAAGTTAAGAGCCAATGCAACACACCATCACCAGTGTAATAGTGCCCAGAAAATGGGCACTGGACCCCAATCTCTTCACCAAGACTATTACTTCTTGACTCCTTGGGGGAAGGACAAAACCTCCACGGTTTTAGTTTAGCTGCAAAATTCTCAGAGCTAGTCAATTCCACTCCTGGACAACTTTAGCATCCCCTGCCACAGGTTAACTTACATAATAAATTATAATGCTGTATCTGTTTAGACCCAATTCTAAGATTTTACAAATACTGACCAACGCTATTTAGTCATTCCGCTTTCCAAAGTGTACTTCAATCAACCAAGACTCAACACATTGCCTGTGAAATAAGCTATCATTGTATCCATTTCCGAGAAAATCTGTCACCCTGAGGCCAGGCAATAAATCACCTACAGAACCAGGATCAAAAGTGAGAAGTTCCCATCTCCCCCCACCTCCGATCTTCAAAACCTTGTCATTTGCCACAAAGTACCCTCCCAGCTACACAGAAAACAAAGGGCAGTGAGCTCTAACTATCTTCTCTATTAACGCCCGCAGCTGCCCAGTGACAAAAGTACTTATCTCTGCAATCTGAGGCAAGGTGAACACCTGGGCTATGTCTGGCATCTTCAAAGAGGTATAACAAGTGAAGAATATGGGTTTAGGCCAGGATGTGATCATGTTGCTCTGTGGCAGGTGTGACATCTAGCTTAATGCCTGCCATCCTGTTGCTAGGATCAATTTGAACTTTGGATCCATCTAAATTCCTGATCTGAAAAAGGGAGTCTTCATGTGAAAATGAACTTAAACTTGAAGTTCATTAGTTCAAACCCCTCATTCTATGGATTACTGAACTGGACCTCAGAGGAATGGAAGGGATGAACCAAGTTCCCACAGCTCAGAATATCGCCTTCTAGAAAGCTGGAGATCAGCTTATCTGGGACAGTTGTCCCAGATCTTTGTAATCCTCCCAGGAACTGGGGACTGGATCATGGTTACTGTCAGAGGTTTGGCCCACCAAAACTAAATAAAGTTTGCTCTATCTTGACAGGTTAGGATTTGACTTCTCTCACCTGGTGCCAGCCTTTGCCCCCAGGTTGGTGTCCCAGGGGGTGACTGTAAGAGCAGTGGCCTCTCTTGCATCTTCTGAGGGCCAAAGACTTTTACTTACTAAATCTAACCCCAGTGGATAAGAGGAAAATACTCTGGCACTGAGGAATAGACTTTATAAGGAGGCTAAGTTAGAGTTGTGTATTATGTATGGTCCTGCCTCATTCCTCATTGTGATGATTTCCCCACAAGAAAGAGTCAAAGCAATCTTATGAAGAACCTATGTCTTTAACAGAGCTCCGAAGACTAAAAACGGCTAGAGAAAGCAAGCAAAGGGATACCAAAGTGATATATTCAATATGTCAGGACATAAGCCACAAGTTTTGATCTTCGATCCTTCCAGAAAACCCAGATGGACAAAGTCTCCTCAAGAAGGTGGGACGCTCCCTATCCAGTTTGGCGACGAGCACCCATCTGCACGCTCTAGAACAAGACCCAAAGGGAGTCTCAGGTGCGCTGGCCAAGAGCCAGGAATCCTCTAGCAGAGGGCCTTTTCTGAGACTAGCCAAAACCACCCTCCAGCGATCCCAAGAGAACAGCGCACTGGAACCCCCAGCAGTGCAACTCAAAGGTGTAAGGCTCCCCCCAGCCCCCACCCCGTTCCCCCAAGTCCAACACACCTTCGCTCTCCTCACACCTTTCCGTTCACCACACCCCCCTCCGCCCAGCGCCGTGGTGGGAAGCAACGCCCACTTCTGAGAATGAGACCCTAGTTGTGGGAACAAGACAGGAGTCCAGATCGCATCCATGCACAGATTACCCGAAGCAGACACAGGCATTAAGGAGTTTGCTGCCTTGACATTTGAAAAGCACACTACCAGGCAACGCATGCACACGCGCGCGCGCACACACGTAACAGTTATGGGCAAGTCAAGGACCCACAGGGAGGCTCCTGTCATCACCCCGGGCTCAAGGCAGAGCACCTGGAGTCCCTCCCGGGCCCTGGCGCGCCCTGTCCATCGCCCCGTGAGGGTTAGAGAGCTGGAACCGCCCGGCAGCCGGACCCCGGAGGGTGCAAGGTGGGGGGAAAGGCGGGGCCCACCTCCTCGTCCTGCTCCTCCTGGGACGCACTGCTGTCCAGAGGCGCGGGCGGCGCGGCTCCTCCAGGGCGCGGCAGCGGCGGCGCGGGGACTCCAAGCTCTAGCACCACGCGCACCGGAGCCCACGCGGCGGATGACCGGGCGCCCTGGGCGCCGCCCGGCGGCGGCGGCTGCTCGCGGGAGAAGCCGCCGGGCTCCCCTTCCTCCGACAGAGTTTCTGAGCCCGAAGAAGACTCGGCCGAGGAAGCGCCCGGTGAAGACGTTGCAGCCGCCGCAGAGGCGGGAGTCCGGCCGCCGTGGCCGCTGCAGCCTCGGGGAAGCGGTTCCCGCACCTCCGAAACTTTCTCCCCCATTTTCCTCTTGGCCCCAAAGTGCGCCCCGAGGGGCCACGCGGGCGAGGCGCGCACTCAGCGCCTCCGGAGGAGAAGCCGCGAGCTGCGCGGCTCCGGCTAGCTCTCGCTGCTGCTCCCGGGCTGCGGGGAGCCCCGCCGGCGACTACATGGGCGCAGCGCGGTCACCGGAGCCCGCCGCCAAGTTAGCAGCCGTCCAGGGCGGGCGGCTGACCGGCGCTCCCGCGCGCGGGGACATGCCAGCTCGGATTCGCGCTCTGCGCTCCACAGAGCTCCCGCGCTGCGCCCGAGCCGCCGGGACTGCGGCTTCTCCAGCAAAATCTGCCTCCGGGACAGATCGGGGCCGGCAGAGGAGACGGGCAGCCGGGGGAGCCAATGGCAGGGCAGGCGCGCCGGTGGGCGGAGGCTGCGGCACCCCCGACCGCTCCGGCGTCAGGTAGGGAAGGCGGGGCGGAGGAGTAGGTTACTAGGGGACCCCGGCGAGATTCTGGTTCCCTGGAGTGTGGGAGTGGAGGCCGGAATCTGAGCCAACTCCGTCCCCAGCGGGGATTCTGAATTTAGTGCAGGAGGAGTGACTGCCACCCCTGGAACGCCAGGGAGAGATGGCCGAAGGGGCAGTGAAACCTTGGAGAAGAAGTGGACTTTGTTTCGGAACAGTGGAGTCGAGGAAAGTGACCAGAAGAAGAAACAGAGCTTTAGAGGTAAAAGAAAACACAAACATAGTCGCGCGCGCGCGCACGCACAGTGCCGTGCAGGAGGGAAAAGCGGAACTTGGTGCTGTAGCTGGTAGATCCAAACGAAGCTCATCTGCAATCCCCAGCTGTCCATTTAGGCTCCTTGGGTCTCAGTTTTCCAATGGAAATGGAGACGTTAACACCTATCTTCTCTGATTATGGGCAGAAATAGGGCAAATATATATAAAGCTTCAGCAGATTGCTTCACTTAGACACATGGAGAGTTTCCCAAAGACTATTTTCTGGTTTTACTTCTATTTGTAAACTTAAAAGTTAAGGCAAAGACTTGTAGCTTTTGAAAAGGAGAAATATAACAAATCAGGTCCCTCTATTTAACTTGGATCCAGAATTTGTGTGCCAGATCTAGACAAAGCTGAATTAGAAAGAGTTCTGTGACTCTAACCATTGGCCGTCTCTCCTCGTCAGCTTAGCAGAGGTGGAAAAGAGTTCATATTTCCAGTGTACTTCCTCCCAGCACTGGATTGTAAACCAGAAAGATACAGAACCTTATGCTTCATTTTCCTTTATGTCTAAGAACAGAGGAACCAATAGGATTAGCTTAAGGCCCTCCCTGAAGTCTGGTAGAGGCAGCTTTCAGGGTGAGGGGGTGACTTGAATTTCTAGGAAACCAACACTCAAGTCAGCGGTAGGAATTAAATGATTCTTTACTCTACTTCAACTCCAATTCTACTCTGAGCTCTGGCATTACAACCAGAAATATAGATTCAACCAGATTCAACTCCACAGATGTTGATTGAGATGTGGGTCAGGTGTTTGCAGGGGATACAGAGATGAATAAGGTAGGTCCCCTGCCCCTGAGGAGTTTGTGGTCAGACAAAAGATTGATACTGCATAATATAGCCCCATTATTAATTTTTTAAACTGCAATAGTGCCACAGGAAACAATGTGCCATGGGGAAAATGGGGAGAAATACAGAAAAACAGCAGCTCCTCAAGCTCAGGAGTCCTCAAGAATCTTAGGTTTCTCTTTATCAGAATATTTTGCCAAAGACCCTTAAGAACTGAAGGACTCTAGTTGAAAGCCCCTTCAGCTAATGAGCCCTATTATGCTACCATGTATTTACAAGTAATACATCATACAGAGTGCTTCATCACATTGGACAGCAAGCTTTGTCCTGATCAGTTTCCTCCCCCAACATGAAGGGAAAGGAAATATGACATGACCTTATTGCCACAGATAGCCATAGTGCAAAATGGACTCCAGCTGTCAGGCTCGCATTGTGACACTTCAGAATTATCTGCAGGGATGTGACCTGCTGAGGCAAAAGGACAATTCTGGTGACTTGGCTAAGTTGTGAGAGCAAGGCTGAAGAGAAAGCACAGTGGGGTGGTATGAATCCAACCCTGAGCCTCACAATTGCTTTTTCACTCAGGAATATTGGTCTTTATCTGAGCCCCTATGTGGCTGATTCGCCACAGCCTAAAGGAGATGAGGACTTAAGCCAGCCATTCACATGAAAGAGGAGAAGGGGGTGCTTTTCAGCACATTGAGAAAGAAGCAGCATCAGCAGGATCCGAATCACTAACATTAAGGAATGTTACACTAAGGAATAATGGCTATTATTCCTTGAGCCCTAAGCATCATCTATAGATGGTCTCATTAAATGCTGACAATCACCTGATGAGACAGATTCTATTAGTCCCACTTTGTAGATTAAGAAACTGAGGGTCCTTGATGTCAAGTAGCTTGCCAAAGGTAACACAGCAAGCCAGCAGCAGAAAAGCAACTTGAACCCAACAGTCTGTTTCCAGGGCATTCTTTCTTAAACATTTTAGTGTAATGCTACTCAGAACAAATAACTTTTCAAGTCCATGGTATATACTAGGTTATGAATGTCCATAGAGCAGGGACTTTGTTTATAAAAATATAATTGTTTACAGAAGGATTTCTTGATACATGGATAGAGCTGGAGGAAGTATTGCTAAATGAAATGTCAGAAGGGAAAAGGCAAAAACCAGGTGGTGTCACTTATATGTGGCATATAGAGAAATGAAAGAAAGGGTCAAGTAAAACCAAACCAAAACCAAACTAGAAAACTAGTCATAACTCCTGGGAAGCTGACTGCAGAATGGAGTCTACAGGATGGGAGGGGGAGGCACAGCAGGAGCAGGAGGCCCAGTGGATTTTGGTGGAGGTGGCTTGGTATGGGTGTGGTGAGGTGACTGGCACCTGAGGAGGTGTGAGCCCTTGCCTCTGAATCACATACAGTGCTATAAACCAACATTGCCTTAATCATGACAATTTTTTTCTAAAACGATATCTCAGAAAAACTGTTATAAAAAAGGATACTTGTGGATTTGTTTTTCCCCCACAAACATGAATTAGGCACTTACTATGCCAGGCAAGGTTTTAAGTATTTCACAAATGTAAATTTTCTTAATCCTCATATCAGCCCTATGAGATAGTGACTACAATTTTAATTACATATTTAAAATGTGTGAAAACTATGGCACAAAGAAGTTAAGTAACTTGTCCCAGTACACAGCTGGCAAGTGATGGGGCCAAGATTCAAATGAACAATTTTGCCCCAGATCATACCGTTGATTTCTGTAGATCTAAGCCAAGTACCTAAATAATATTTCTTGAACTTTTCAACCTAACCCCAACTACGAAATGTACTTTACATTACAACTCATGACACATATACCTACGTACAAATTACAAATAAATCTCTATGAGACAATATTATCTTTCCTATTAGCAATATGGTTTGAAATTTTATTATATTTTATTGAAGATAAATGAGTCTAAAATAGAAGGTGACCAGAAGGGCAGAATAGTTCTCCAAAATATACCAGTTACACCTCAGACAAATAACTGGTGTATGGCCAAACAGTGGACCACATCATTTTTGATTTATCTACATCCTACAGTTTACCTCTCTTATCATATTAATTATATTATAAACATCTTTCTCAGTGGCCAAGAAAGTGCCCCTCCAAGAGAACGCCTCATAAATATCCCTAAGTTTAGAGATTTTGTACCAGAGATGGTACAAAAGTGTAGCTACTTTTTTTTTTCCTGCAGTGTCACCTTAGGCAAGAGCCCCAAAAATAAAAATGACTTAGTCATGACTCCTGGGAAGCTGATGGTATAGCTTCACATGCCAGAACCAGACTAACCTACAGAAAAGGAAGGACAAGGTCAGCCTACGCCAAGGTAATCAGACTCCATGAGAGCTGTCAGATCAGCATCCAAGTATTTGGTTCAGAGACAAGCACCCCTGGGCACTAAGTAAATGTTCACTGTGTTTCATGATTGAATACTTCCTCGGCTTCCTGTGTCATGCTCCTAAGTGATGGGAGACATTCCTTCTGGGAATCTCTGCTGTCTCCCAGTCTCTGCTGTGTGGGTGGGCCCACACGTGAATGTTAAGCTCTTGTCTGCAGATTAAGGATGTCCGAGGACAAGCCATCACACCCCTAGTCTTGACTAAAAGTCGAGACTTTTCTCCCCAGGAATAGATTTTGGATTTAATAAAACTGCAATCAACTTACTTACTGAAATCAACTGTCTTTCTTATATACATGAAGTCAGAACATCATAAACACAGAATGAAGAGTTTTGCAAAATTACAAGTTCTTGACTATTTAGTATATAATTTTTTAAGTTTTATATTAACTTTGGATTATGAAGATGATATTATCTACCTTTGGTGGTTTTTTGAATTATCATTAATGATGATTTGCCTGCTCTCCTGTGACTAATGATGATAAATTTGGAGACAAAGTAAATATTGATAAAAAGCTGATAGCTGAGGTGCTTGAGATTGGGGGTTCTGATTAACGCCAGGGGGTGTAGCATGATATAGGCCATGGCAGTTTCTGAGCAGCCAGCCAAGAGACGAGCCTGTCAGCCTCTAAAGTATTACTTAAACTGTAGGAAAGGATGAGTTATAGTACAGGTTCCAGAAGATAAGTAGAAGAATTTTTAAATGATGATTAAAAAGGACAGGGGAGATTGAGTAATAAGGTGAACTGCCACTGTTGGAGCCTGTGACCCAGAGCTTGAGAGGGATGGGAAACTAAATGTGTTAGCAAATTAAAATATGCCTACAATGAACCAAAGGACAGGTGCCGCTGATCTGACCTCTTAGGTCAATGTTTCCTGGAGCACTTAGGTTAGATCACCAGGAAGCAAGCTGGGGAGCAAGGGGTATTGGTTCCCTGGCACCCAAAGGTCTGGAAAACTGAATTTTTTTAAGCACCAAACACCAAAGCTTGAGGATTACTGAAGATTTTCCGGGTGTGGAAATCAAAATGCCATTTTTATGGTGCCAATGTGTATGGCTCTATAATAGCTGATTAGAGTGATCTTGACTGACTGCATTTTGTGTCTCTTTGGACCTCTTTGTTCTTATTCTCCTGGAGAACATCTACCTTGGGGAGACCAAGGCAGCTTAGCAGCTGGACAGGAATATGCAAGTTCTGAAAACAGTTGGAAAAACTGAGCTAATACAGAAAGAGAACTGAGGCTAATGTTCCCTCAAGGATTCTGTTTAAACAAAATTCAAAATGGTGACCTATTTCCCACAGAAGAATCCAATCTTTTGCATTTGTCTTTGCAAGATGGATATTCACATCTGGGATTTTTTTGTTATGTTTTCAGCATGAAATGTTCTTTTATTATCACTCTTCATTTTTCAAAAAGATTTATTCGGTACTCTTTTGCCTGTATAGGAAATAGAAGACAAGCAAACACATTTACTCATTTTTATTCATTGTAGTGGCTTGCTTTCAGAGTCAAATGGTTCCATTTTACACTTTCAATTCTTAGAGCAATATTCTTAATTCTGTCTACACTGCATGGAAAATAGTTCCTGCCACTACTCACCCCAATTAATTAGAAAATAAAATGACGCTGAACCTAACAAGTAGTGACTTTTTTCCACAACCACCAACCAGTGTGCAATCGTTAGGGGTAATTTTTAAGGTGCTTTGTACTTGAAGAAATAGTGCCTTCTAGTCCCTTTCCCCTCAAAGTGTGGTGTGTCACCAAGCTGACATGGGTGCTTGTTAGAAATGCAGAATCTCATCCAGACCTACTCAATCAGAATCTTAAGCTTCCTGGGAGCATCATAGCTGCATTAAAGTTAAAAAAAAATACAGCTCCAGTTTGATTCTCAAATTTAGCTATATATCAGAATCACCTATGGAACTTGAAAAATTAGTGACCCCATAGGTCCCACCTCCAAAATCTGGTTTTAATTGAGTTGGGGTTAGGAGTTGAGGATTTAACAAGTTCCCTATTGGGAAATGACTGGTGTTAGGGCTCAGACAGGGAAGTACAAGATGAGCCTAGAACAACTCTTAGTGCCACAACTAATGAAAAGCTTGAAAACTATAGGACCTTGTTCAAAGAGCACAGATGACAGTCTCAAGGAGCTCCCCATGGCCAAAGCTAGAAAAATCTGAACAACAAAACCAATCATAATGTCATTGCATACTAAAGCATACAACTGAATAAACATCCAAGAATCCAAACGTATGTAAGTAATGAAATGAAAATAAATGGAGCAGAGATAGTTTTCCCTCACAATAGAATTCCAATTAATAAAGATAGAAAGAAGGAAATAGAGAATCATCATTAGGCAAACACACAGGAGTAATTGCTACTGACAAAGACCCAAAATGTATGTTCATATTAGCGAGCAAATGTCTGAGGAAAATGAAGATTTGTATAGACTCAAAGTACTTTGTTTCTGGGCCTCCCTGGTGGTGCAGGCGGTTGAGCACCGCTCTGTGAAACTGTCCACAGCCTCTGCAGCGCGGTTTTGATCCCGGCCGGCTGGTGAGAATCCCACATGGCGAAGCAGACCTCTCCTGTCTCACCCGCTGCTCCCCTCAGCAGTGTATTTTGTCCATCTGCCTGTTCTGTTCCCTGCTCTGTCTCTGGTGAATCCAGTGGAGAAACCCAGAGATATCAACTTAACCAAATAATCATCACTGGTAATAAAACATACCAACATCCTGAGCCCCTTACTGTGATACACATCATCATTTTTGTGGTATTCTTAACAAAATGCACACCTACATTTTGTCACAAGAAAATATCACAAACTCAAATTGTGCAGAATTACCAATTTGTGCTCTTCAATACTATCAGGTAGTGAAGGATAAAGAAAACTTGAGGCACTGTTAGACAAACTAAGAGTAACAAATAAAACATGGGATACTGAATAGCGTCCTGGAGCCCCCCCCCAAAAAAGGACAAGGATGGGGAACATCAGGAAATTTTAATCAAGACTGTAGTTTAATAATATCTCACCAGTATTAATGCAGGTTCTCAGTAATTATACTATTGTTATACAAGGCATTGTCATTAGGGAAAGCAGAGTAATAAATTCTGGGGAATCCTAAAAGAAGTTTCTTGCCAATTATTTGCTTTCCTAAAAAGCAAATATTGTTGTATTAATGCAACTTTTTTATAAACATAAAATTATTTCAGAATAAAAAGTTAGGTAAATCTAATGGCAGCAGAGGTTAAGAACTATTACTCAACCCTCAAAGGTCCAACTTTTCCCTCCTTCTTTCCTCCTAACCAAGGAAAATTATTTTTTCCTATCTAACCCTCACCAAGAGGCTAATTTGAGGTGGTTGGGTAGGGGGCAATTCTGTAATAACATCAGATTGTCCATGGTGGGTGCCATGGGGACTGTATACTTGGAGCATAAACACAGTGGTTGATGTGTTTGATGTCTGGCTGCCCTATATCCTTTTTGGTAAGAGCATTAAAATTTCTTCTTAAGGAATCACCTGTTACCTTTTCAGCAGTCTTGATGGCCTTGTCATCTCCAATATCTTTGAACTTTAAATTTTGAGAATGCTAACACAAGGACAGTGCTTTCTGGAAAAACTATCAATTAGCTCCCATTAACTAAATCCTGAGGAGACCCTGGTTCCATCAATTTTCCACGTGTTATTCTCCAGCTTTTTCTTTGATTGTCTGAGCTACCAGTAAAACTTCCTTGTGATTGAATTTGCTAAAATCAGGTATTAGTGTCACGATGGGACTCTTAAGAAATACAAGTGTGCTGAGCTGAATCCACTGGTCACCCTGGCCAGGTGGAAGAAGCCATCTGAATACCATCCAAAAACTATTAGTGATACTAAAGATGTGGTCCTGAAACATTATGGTTGCTGCTTCTATCAAATTTTGTGAAACCATTAGTTTTCAGGTTTAAAAGGGGATCTCTATTACTGGAGGTTAAAATAGTTGAGGAAAGGAATGCACTGTCAGGAAGAAAACAAACAAACAAAAAAACAACTCTTTCCAGGAATAGCAGAAACAAATCCTAATACCAGACTTTGTTGGAATTTTCTGTCCTCTTTCTAGGTTCTAAGAGCCCTGAGGGCAAAACATACTGTGTTTTATTTATCTAACACCTAGTACAATGTCTGACATAGAATAGTTTCTGACTAATACGTATTGAATAAAAGGATGAGGCAATTGCTTCCAGGGGACTTTAAACCAGCTTTACTAAAATTCTGTGATTATCTAAAGTTTGCTCATTCTAAGATTTGCATAAGTTGACTGAAGGACCCAAACAATTTTAGGAGAGAAAAGAAAAATCTGTTTCTGCAATAAGGCAGCCTCTTTTGTGAGGAGCCCCTCATTTTGAGAAAAGTAACAATCACTAGAAATCTTCAGTGCAAATCACTATTACACCTTCATGCACCCAGAAGTTTCTTGCCAATTATTTGCTTTCCTAAAACAGCCAAACCAATGGGAATTGCCTTCATGTGATGTGAATGAGATGGAAGGAACATCTTGAGGAGCCCTTGGGACTATTTACTGGTACTTCCTGTCTGTTAGCATGGCAGGACAGGCTATTGTAAGCTAGAGGAAACTCCCTGCAGGCAGCCAAGGACACCACAAGGACCCCACAGGATGGAAGAGCCTGTGCCTAAAAGACTCATTCTTATGGGAACTCCTTTCTTATGCAAGAATATTTGGACCCTTTATTAAACTTAGCCATTCTGCGGAATTAATGCAAGAAATTGTTGTGAGACAGAGAAACATAAAGATGAAATGAAATGGTTTCATATTTTAGCACTGAAAACCAGGTGCTTAGCTGCCAACCACAGGATCTACTCTGTCTAGTTTAAGTAGAAAGTGGTTTATTAGAAGATATTAGACTGCTCACATTCACAGTCTTTGGAAGAATGGAAGAAACAGGCTCTGGAGCAAGCTTCCAAGAACAATCCCCAGAATCTCAGTGCAGGAGTGACTGGGAAAGGAATTGCTACTCTAATGATTCCAGAACCACATTGCCTCTCCCACCATCTGTGCCTGCAAAATGGATGCCCTGCGTCCCACCTGCTTCCTCACATAAATCATTTCTGTGTCTATATTTCTGCTTGTGTGTCTGACTACCAGAAACGAAGTCACATGACTGTACCCTGGAGGCAAAGGAAACTGAGAAACGTGGGAGCTTTGCATGCTGTCTTGGGAAGATGGGATTCACACCATGGGGAAGCATCATAATGTAG